GGACGGACGGACATGCATAAATCGACTCAGAATGTGATTCTATGCAGATCATCAAAAGGAACTATGGGTCTATCTCGTTTCCTTCTGCCTGTTACAAACAAATGCACAAAGACATAATACCCTGACCACCTTGTGGTGTAGGGTATAAAAAAAAAAACGTAAAAAATTCTGTTAAAATCTTAAAACTATCGAATGTTTTAGGGTCTGTACCACGAGTTGAATCAATATTCAAAAGCGAAACTTGAAAAAAAATTGGGGAAAAATTTAGCTATAGCTATACCTTTTAATTCCCTCCACCATATGGAAAAAATTTGGCAATTTTCGATAAAAAAAAATCCGTAAAAAATTCTGTTAAAATCTTAAAATTACGGAATTTTTTACGGTCTATACAACGACGTGGACCAATATTCAAATTCGAAACTTGAAAAAAAAAAATTGGGGAAAAATTTAGCTATAGCTATACCAAAACGTGGACCTGCACAGACAATTTTCTGTCAACTTCAAAAACCAAATTTGAAACAATTCCGGTAAATAAAGTCGCTAAAATCATCAAAAAACCGAATATCGGGAGCTATCATTATATGGGGGCTATCGGAGACTTCGACCTGTGGTATCCATTACGAACTTCAAATACCAAATTTGAAACAATTCCGGTTAATAATGTCGCTAAACTCATCAAAATACCGAATATCAGGGGGTAGAGTTATATGGGGGCTATACAAAGACGTGGGCCTTGCTCAGACAATTTTCTGTCATAGGTTGTAGTATCCATTACGAACTTCAAATACCAAATTTGAAACAATTCCGGTGAATAATGTCGCTAAAATCATCAAAAAACCGAATATCAGGGGTAGAATTATGTGGGGGCTATACGAAGACGTGGACCTGCCTGGACAATTTTCTGTCATAGGTTGTAGTATCCATTACGAACTTCAAATACCAAATTTGAAACAATTCCGGTGAATAATATCGCTAAAATCACCAAATTACCGAATATCGGGAGGTACCGTTATATGGGGTTTATACCAAAACGTACACCTACATGCCCCATTTTCAATACCAAAAGTCCTGCAGACATAATATACATGTGAGTACAATTTTATCAATCTACTTCATTTCGTTCGGAAACTAGAGTAATTTCCACAGACGGGCAGATGGACGGGCATCGCTAAATCGACATAGAATTTTATGCTGATCAAGAATAAATATACTTTGTGGGGTCTAAACTGTATATTTCGAGTTGTTACAAACGGAATGACTTAATATACCCTCCATTCTATGGTGGATGGTATAAAATGCTAAACCAAATTCTTTCAGTGTATTTGCATACCACTTTTGATTTGCCGCCTTTGGTTACTGTTGTTGTTGTTGTTGCTGAGTCTGATGCAGGCAATTCCGAAGTAATGATCCATTTAAAACAAATTTAAGCTAATGAACCCTTTTACTTAAATAATATTATTTTTCATTCTTATCAATTTTGCAACGCCACGACGGCAGATGTGGGCCCGGAGCAGTCGAGGTAACACAGCAACAAAAAAACTCAAATTCCGTTAGCGAAATATTGACCAAAGGTAAAACAAAGAAACCGAAACAGCAGCATCCACCACAAGTCAAGTCAGGCAATGCTGCGAAATTGATTGCAAAATTTGAGAGGTAAAAAGGTTTGTTTATGTAGTTGGTATGTATCATGGAACCGAAGAGAAGATAAACTTACTGCAAACTAGGGTAAGTGCGCCTAAGTTCGGCATGTCCCAGTAGTCGGCAGTTTTGAAATTTAAACTTAAATAACTAAGAATAGAATTGACCAAATAATAAAAAAATTGCAAAAAAAAACGTCAACAGTGTTCTCTGCTCTCTTTCTGTAAAAAAGCAATTAGCTCCAATCATTTGTTACAAGAGAATAACGGTTTTCGTCAATGAGTATCTTCCAACGCGTGCGAGAGTGCTTGTTTGTAAAAAAAAAATTAGTGGTGGCGTCAACGTAATAATCGATTTAAATAAATTAAATTTAATACTTTTGGAATCAGAAATATTTTATAATAGTAAATAAGAGTCTAAAGACCATTTTATAACTTAAAAACATACAAATCAAGCATTTTTCTGTTATATTATTAAATGCCGACATTAGGAACAGAGAAAAAGAGATTTGCCAGTAGTCGGCAGGGGGTGCCGATTACTAGAAAAATATCATTTTTGTCCAATTTCACCAAAACTTGAGGAAAGTATTAAAAAACAAGTAAAAAAACATTAAGTTCGGCCGGGCCAAACTTTTAATACCCTCCACCCTAGGGTAAAAGAACATTAGAAGAAATGTGGCAAAAAACATTAAAATGTCGAATATCGGGAGGTACCGTTATATAGGGGCTACACCAACACGTGCACCTATAATTACAATGTTTCGCCACACGAACTAGGACCCATTATGACCCACAAATACCAACTTTTACACAAATCAGTGAAAAAATGTGGCATAAATCATCAAAATACCGAATATCGGGAGGTACCGTTATATGGGGACTATACCAGAACGTGGACCTATACATGCAATGTTTTGCCACACGCTCAGGGACCCGTTGTGACCTACAAATACCAATTTTCAGACAAATCCGTGAATAAATGTGGCATAAATCATCAAAATACCGAATATCGGTAGGTACCGTTATATGGGGGCTATACCAAAACGTGGACCTATACATGCAATGTTTTGCCACACGCTCAGGGACCCGTTGTGACCTACAAATACCAATTTTCAGACAAATCCGTGAATAAATGTGGCATAAATCATCAAAATACCGAATATCGGTAGGTACCGTTATATGGGGACTATACCAGAACGTGGACCGATATATCTCATTTTCAATACCAACCATCCACACTTGTGCCAAATTTCAAAGGTCTACGTCAAATAATGTGGGCTCTATCGTGATTTCAACAGACAGACAGACAGACGGACAGACAGACAGACGGACATCGCTAAATCGTCTTAGAATTTTATGCTGATTATGAATATATATACTTTATGGGGTCTACGACCAATATTTAGAGGTGTTACAAACGGAATGACAAAGTTAATATACCCTCCTACCCATGGTGGAGGGTATAATAATCAAAAACTACTCAAATAAAGGAATAGTTTTGAGTCGGCAGTTGCTTTTATTTTTGCTTTTTAACCAACTTTTCTAAATTAAGTAGGTAGGTGGCATTTTTGAAAAAAATGTTGGCTATCTAAAGGAAAAAGATCAATTCGTAAATTTCAAATATAAGAAAGGTACTTTTTCCTTTTTTATTTAATCTCATTTTTATTTACTGAAGGTAGCCATACTATTCTTGATTTTCTACCTATATTTGGTTTAGAATGATAATTAAATAAAACACTATTTAAAAACTAAATTAATTAAAAATTCTGGGTTAAAGTGTGAATTAGTAATATAACATTGTTTTATACTATTTGAAATAAAAAAATATACAGAATAATATTTTTTTTACTGAAATATCATATGCCGACTACTGGCAAATAGACATGCCGAGCATTGGAAAATGGTGCCGACTACTGGCAAAAAACAGCTGTTTCAGTAAAATTGCAAATTTTGCCAATTTAATAAAAACAAATTCAATTTTTGTTTATTATTTCGAAAATAAAACAAAATTTGGAATCTGAATAACTTAATTTATCTGCAATTGTAAGATTTCACTCAGAATGTTGGAAGATTGAAAAATCGAAAATCCTAAAAGTGCCGACTACTGGTACACTTACCCTACATCTTACAATCGCAAAAAGAAATATTTGACGTTGCTAAAGCTAACACTGTTAAATCATGACATGGCATATGGCATGGTACAATGTAGGCCAATTTGAGAAAATTGCAAGTATTGAGGTCTACCTGTTTGGCTTGCAAAGTCAGAATTACTATCAAAACAATCAAAAACTTGTTGCATTCATTTTGAATTTGGTAGAAGAATACAGGTAGATGCATCGCAGCGCTTCGAAACATTGATATGTCAAAATGTTTAAAAAAAAATAAGTAAACTTTTTATAAATTTTCTTACACAACAACAATTGGAGGTTGTTATGATATGCACTTTTCAACAATTTTTACAAATTTCAATAATTTTTCAATTCCAAAATTGGTTCGACAGACCATTGTCTCAGCAACTACGTCAACCATGGTAGAAGAATATAAGTAGATGCATTAACGCTTGGGAACATTGATATATCAAAATTTTTTAAGTGCCTTGTCAAAAATAAGTCGATTTTTATATGTTTTCTTATACAACGTAAATAGGAGGTTGCAATGATATGTATTTTTCAACAGGTTTTACAAATTTAAATAATTTTTCATTCAACATTTTCCATTCCAAAATTGGTTTAACAGTTCATTGTCCCAGCAGCTGTGTCGATGCGATTACCTGTATTCTTCTAACATGACGTCAACTATCTATATATTCTTCTACCATGGGAACTCCAATGTAGATTTATCCTAATAGCGCGTTTACATACTCTGTAGCCAATAAGCGTTCGATCAATCCTAATAAATTAAACTTGTGTTTTCCAAGATCCAATTTTTTGTTCTTGATTAATTAACACGGATAAATATTTGTATGTAAACGTACTTTAACATTTCTAAAAAATCACATAAAAATTTTAGGTTTCGAAAATCTCTACATATTTCATGACAGATCTCACTCATTAGTGTCAGCTAAAACAATTCAACATCTTCAATTAAGAAACTAAAGTCCGCATTTGGGAAAATGTTGCCGCACATTGCCCAATATATGTAAATTTTCTAATATTCAAAGCTTCAATGCAACAAAACCCCAACCATACAACGCTTTTTCTTGGCGCCATCTATATGTGATTTCTGACAACTTCGGAAAACACCAAAGACAACACATTGCATTGCCATATCAATTAAATTGCTTTGCTCTCCTTATTTACAACACTGTTCATTCACGTTGCCCCAACAACGTTGATAATTTGTGTACGCTCTCTCTGTCTCTCCATCCCAATTCGCTATAGTACGTTCCAACAACAACGCTGCAGAATAAAATGCTAATTTTTTTTATAAAGTGATTAGACGACCAAAGCGTCATTATTAATTATAACAAAAGACACTAGAAATTAATAAAATATAGAACATCTAATTGTGCATTTCAATAGAATCGAATACGGTGAAAAAGGTGATAAGAGAAAATTGTTGTAATCTAACAAAGAGAATGCATAACGATTAGGAACATGATTTTCACTTTTCTTTTGTGGCACTCGGCTAAAAAACGAGAACACTTGAGAAGACGGTCAAGGGAAAATTGAGCAAAGAACAAAACAACAACTACAACAAAGAAAGAAAAGTAAAACAACAACAGCGATTGTAATTGTGCACTAAATAAGTTTGTCGTATGGCCTAGTAAAATGGCAGGAATCATTTGAATACTTGACGTCTCGAAGGGCAGCATTATCTGCTCTAAATTCAATTTAATATACCTTGTGCGCGCTATTATTTGATAAAGCAGCAAATGTCAATGACTGTTGTGTGATTTTCTTCCGGTGTGTTTGTTGTTGCTCGTGTATGTGTGTTGTTGTTGAGTTAAAACAAAGAGTTTGTGTTAAAAAGAAACAAAAAACTAGATGTTAAAAATTCTATGTAAGTGAAAAATTTTCGGTGGCATATAAAGTGCATTGTTGTTTTTTACTTTTCGCTGAAAAAAATATACGCACAAACATACGCATACACGTACATATTGGCGAAGTAGATGGATGACAAAAGGCTGGCTGACAGCAGCACAACACACCGCAAACTTAACCTCAATTTATTATTAGAAAACGAAAAGAGAAATAGAGATTTCCTTACTTTTTTGTGCTGCTTTTACAATAACTTAGTTATCTGAGTTTTGACAGCCTAGAAGTGTAACAAATATTGGTTGTTTACAATTTGTTTTTCACTAGTTTTTATAAATCATCAAAACTAAAATTCCGCCTCTTTCTGTGTGTATTTTCAGTTCGACACCCCTCCTTCCCCAATTAAATTACTAACAACGTAGAATAAAACATGGGTAAAAATCATCAACCAGACAACTGGGATGATGGTTCATCGGATTCGGGTGAGGAGAAGACCAGTCCAACAGCTGCCACACGTTCCTGCCACCATTTGAAAAGAGCCGTTGATTCGGCCAAGTTACGCAAACTGCTAAAAGGTACCGGTCTATTATTGGATTGTAGAGAATGTCAAAAAATGGATGTCGCTTCGCCGGCCACCGAAGCTATGGAATCACCAGCAATGGACATTGAATATGATAATACTTTGTGGTTGTGTTTGAAATGTGGTTCTCAGCTTTGTGGTCGTTCCAAGAATCAGCATGCTTTGCAACATTTTAAGGTAATTTTGGACAAAGTGTGCATGAGCAATTTTTATACTTAGGATGTACTATGAGTTGTGTCTGGAGATGAATATTTTTGTAGTCGCATGTTATTTAACCCGATCCTGCCCGGTAATCTGTTAGGAAATCTAGATGTATCTCATTCCACGAAATGTTCAAACACGCTGTGTTAATGTTGATCGTCACATATCAAAATAACCGAAAATATTGGTATGTTCGGAGGTGTCATACTTTTCATACCACCCAAATTTGGTTGCATCAAGATCGAGATTACATTATTTTATACGAAACCCCCTAATAATTTTACCTCGGGAGTTATTATTTTAGCCACAATTGCCAGCCGGATAAACTGAAATTTGACATTGACGGATATCAGTATGTATAATCTCTGTTTAAAAAAATATTAGATATACATCCACTATTTGGTATAGCCCGCATATAAAGGTACCTTTGGATTTTAAGTATATTGAATATTAAAACTAACTTTTTTCACCTCTAATTTCCGATTAGATTAATTTATTCAATGGAGTACTCCTAAAAGAGAATTTGACTTACGAACACAGTATCGATCCACACTTTAAAGTAGTTCCCATACCATCCTAATTAACGATTTCAAGTTCTTTGAAGATTTAATTTGAAACCCTCTAACTTGAAATCTTACTAGGTAAAGCACACACCCCAGCAATTATTGTTTAATTTAGATCCAGGTTTTGGATTGACAGTCATGTTTTGTTATTGGAATTTTTCATTTTTTATATCTAAGCTGGATCTAAAATAGAATATTGAAAAGAGAGCTAGAGGTAGTAGCGTCTGTGGATTTAGAAACTGTTAATTGCGCCCCTTACTAGATCTACATTAGAATATGGTTCTGTTATAGAAGAACTTCAATGCAGAACAAAATTCGATAAAATAGGACCACTGAGAATTAGTAAATCATAAAACATAAATCGAACATTTTACTTATCTTTTATTATTTTGTCTTACATTCAAGTATTCAATAATAACAAACTAATTGCGCTTCCCTCTTTCTTCCTACAGACACCCCGTTCAGATTCGCATGCTCTGGCAATGAATACACGTTCCTTTGATATCTGGTGTTATGACTGTGACAACGATGTGAAACCAGATTCGAGCAAAAATCTTCTTGATTGTGTGGAATTTGTAAAGGGTTTGGCTCAAAAACCACCCGTGGAAAATACGATTATAGGAGCCTTTGAATGTTTACGCCCCTTGTTATCGATGGATGACAATGGGACACTATTTAAGCCCTCCAAGACAACAGCACCGTCGCCTCCTATACCGGGAATTGCCAAACGCACCAACAATGAACCATTGATCACCTATAATAATTTCAATAATTTAGCACCCATCATAAAAACGGGCGATACATCGAGTGGTGTAACTAATACAACACTTGGGACGCGAATACCAACCTCACCATTGAATGAGCCCCTGCCCAGGGTACGTGGTCTAACCAATTTGGGTAATACGTGTTTTTTCAATGCTGTCATGCAGTGTTTGGCTCAAACGCCCTATTTATTGGATGTCTTAAGGGAATCTGCTGAGCCGGGAGAAGAGTAAGATTTTATTTACCTATTAAGATTTAAGATCTTAATAATCTTTTTTCAATAGATTTACACTTCCCGGTGGTACATTCGATACCAAGGATGATGAAGTTCTAAAACTACCGCCCATCAAAGGTACTTTATCTGCATGGGGTGGTCTGACATCGGCCTTGGCCAATACTCTGGAAGAGCTACAATGGGGCGGTAAGTTTGATATTGTATTTCGTGTTTTTTTAATCTAATTTGTTTTATTCTTGCAATCAAGGTGGCGTCTTTAATCCCAGCAAACTTTTTGCAAAACTTTGCGCCAAATGCCCACAATTTGAGGGCGGTGACCAACATGATTCTCATGAGCTGCTGAGACACTTATTGGAAAGCGTAAGGTATGTTGTCCAAGAATCAGCCCATTTATATTTTTTCAAAGCATTATTTATTTGAATGCATGATAAATAGTGTAATACAAGCAAGCAGATGCTACAGTCGGGCAGGGCCTACCATGGGATACCTACACACTATAATTTACCGCAAACTGTCTTCAGATGTCAAACATAAAACTGAGGTCCCTTAAAGAATAACATTTACGACTTTCTTTGCATTTAATATCGTCTATTATATTATACAGTATATCTTCGGAGGGTCTCATATTGTGTAAAATGTCTCCTAATGCCCAGAAGTCCTTTCACTTTCTACAAAATCTTGATTTGTTTTATTGCATACGAAGCCTTCTAAATGCCAATCACATTTTTTTACTCTATTTCCAGATCCGAAGACCTAAAACGTTATCAACGTGTCATTCTCCACAATCTCGGCTATAAGGATCAAGACATCAAATCCGTTTCGGAGGATATGAAAAGAAAATGTAAAATCTATGGTAATCAAGCTGCCGATCGCATTCTTATGCCGGAACAAGTATTCCGTGGCTTCTTAGTTTCCACCTTGACATGCCAAGATTGTTACAATGTCAGTTCAAGGCACGAGTACTTCTTGGATATGTCATTGCCTGTAAGCGTTGAAAAATCCCAACCTCCAGCTATGCGACGTAAAACATCTCCCGACAATGCCAATTCATTTTATTTACATCCAGCACCAACCGCATCACCAGCTGGTCCAACAAAATCTCAGCTCAAAAAGGAGGCGAAAAAAGAACGCATAGCTAAACGTCATGCCAAGCATCAGAATACCAAACAAATGCAAAAACTCAGTTCACTTGAGGGTGCAAATAGCGCAACTGCTGGCGGTGATGGAGACAATGCCAATGTGGCATTAGATACAGCACCCGTTATTGGTTGTGCCACAAGGGAAGAAGCTGCCGACAAAACTACTGCATGGTCGGCGGCATCATCATCTTCGGCTGAACAATCCGATGCTGATGTCGAAGATAATCTTTTAGATGACAATGACAAGTGTCCAACAACAAAACCTTTAAATACCTCAGCAAGTGTGAAAGCGGCAAACAGCATTGATCGCAATGGCAATAATCAGCTTACAAGCCCCGTTGAAAAACGAGGAGATTCACCGGAAAATATGGACAAGGATTCGCTGGATGAAGACGAAAATGGTAAGTGTATCAAGCAAACTCCTACGTCTATTCATTCCTTAATCTATTTTTTTTTTCATAACTAGATTCCGGTATTGCCACAAGTCCTGCTAATGCTGGCGGTGCCAGTTTCCCTGCCTCTTCAGCATCAAACTCTGAAACCAATGGCGATACGACTGCAGTGGAAACCAAAACCACAAATAGTGTCTTCTCAATGGGGCTCAATGAAAAGGGAGCAAACCTACTCAAACAATTAAACAGTGAAATTAATACAGATGCCACCACAGCAACAACGCTTACCAATGGTGAAATTAAGGCAAATGAAAATAACGATAATCCTGCTATGCAATCCGTAATTGACAAGCTCGATCGCTTACAAGTTGAGAATGAAGAACAACAGCAAAAGAAGGCAGCGCGAGCCAAAGCGAAACGTGCACGTACCCAGAGTTACTCTGATTGGAGTACGACAATAGCACCACGTTATCAATGCGAAGATGGAGAGTGTTCGGTGCAATCATGTCTTAACAGTTTCACCGCCGTGGAATTGATGACAGGCAATAACAAAGTGGGCTGTGAGGCCTGTACAAAACGTATTAATGGTGATGAATCCCAAGGCGAAGACCGTCAATACCAATGCCACTAAACAGTTCCTGATCTCTAGTCCGCCGGCTGTACTAATCTTACATTTGAAACGTTTCCAATTGGGACAACGCTGTGTGTTCCGTAAATTAACGGGTCACGTTAGCTTCCCCATGATACTGGATATTGCCCCCTTCTGCGGTTCCAAAGTCAAGAATCTTCCCAATATTGATCGCAAACAAAAGAAATTGTTGTATGCCCTATATGGTGTTGTGGAGCATTCAGGTGGCATGTATGGTGGCCATTACACAGCCTATGTCAAGGTGAGACCCAAACTCAGCAAAGAAGACAAACGTTGGAAATTTATTCCGCAAGGCAGTAAAGCAGAGTTGGATCAAGACGACGAACAACGTAAAAAACTAGATGAGCTTTTGGCGCGAGAGAAGGCACGTGACTTACGCATGAAAGCAGCCAACGATAGCGATGACTTTTCCAATTCATGCAGCAGCAGTTTAGATTCATGTACTTCGTCATCTTCCGAGCCCGAGGAATCGCCTACATCACCTGGCGGTCATAACGATGAGCCTGAGGGTGCTGTTGGTGGCATTGATGAGGCCATTAACGTCCAGGTGCCAATGGGTAAATGGTATTATGTTTCCGATTCTCGTGTCACAGATGCCAGCGAAAGTGAAGTTTTGAAAGCCCAAGCATATTTGCTATTCTACGAACGTATTTATTAAATTGCAGGCAAAAGAAAAAACAAAACAAAGCTACATTAAAGACATATTCCGTTTCATGGATTTAAAACAACATATTTAGGTGAGTCTTTTGTCATTTGTAATGATTATGTAATTGTCTTCCCCTTTACGATATTTCCACCATACTATGGAGGGTATATTACCTTTGTCATTCCGTTTGTAACTCCTCGAAATACTCATGTCAGACCCAACAAAGTATGTATATTCTTGATCAGCGTCAAATTCTAAGCCGATTTAGCCATGTCCGTCTGTCTGTTATAATCACGCTATCTTTCGAACGAATTGAGATAGAAGGCTAAAATTTTGCACACGTGTTTATTTTTCCAGTAGGCAGGTTAAGTTCGTAAATGGGCCATGTAGGTCCACGTTTTCATATAGCCCCCATATAACGGTACCTCCCTATATTCGGTATTTTAATGATTTTAGCGACATTATTCACCGGAATTGTTTCAACTTTGGTATTTGAAGTTCGAAATGGATACTAGTGCCTATGACAGAAAATTATCTGGGCAGGTCCACGTCTTCGTATAGCCCCCATATAACGGTACCTCCCTATATTCGGTATTTTGATTATATTAGCGACATTATTTACCGGAATTGTTTCAAATTTGGTATTTGAGATTCGTAATGGCAGAAAATTGTCTGTGCAGGTCCACGCCTTCCTATAGCCCCCATATAACGGAATTTACTGCTTTTTAACTTGTTTTTAGGATGGATTGGCATTGAATTGATATTTACGGTATGATATTTGTGCCACCTCCTGTGGTACAAATTATGTCATGTTTTCCCATAGTTTCCATCATGGTTCTCATATTACGTTACCTTCGTATATTTGGCATTTTGTCAAAATAATTAATTTTAAATTATCCGATAGATGTTTTGGATAGGGATCTTTCTATCTCGCCGAATTGAGTCGATCTAGTTATGTATGTTTGTCCGTCCGTCTGTCTATGTCAATTTATAATGACGTTACAGGCCGCAATTATGGCCCGATCCTCACAAAATTGAATGTACAGGTGGGGATAGGGTCAGAATAGAAGCCTATTGTTTTTGGAGATGATCGCAAAATATTTAAGAGTTGAAATTAACCAATAACAGAAAATTTCTTGATTTTGCTGTTGCTCTAAAGTTAGAGCTAGGGCTGTGCAGAAGCCTACCAATTTTTACGGTCATAGGATAAAATTTGAAGCAAGTAAATAAAATTTACCTATAGCTCCCATATATATGTTTCATCCGATTTGGGTTTTTAAGTCCTTCATATGCGTAATATGCACTCCACAAGAATGATATTTGGTACCGGACATAATATTCTTCTCGAAAATACCTCAGTCAAATTTTATCGAGATTGATTCAGATTAGGATATAGCTCCCATATATATCTTTATCCGATATCAGGGTTATTGTGCACCAAATGCCTAATATCAGCCCAAATGGACTCATTTTGGTCCCAAATGGACCCAGTACTTTAAATCGGTTCAGACATAGCTATAGCTCCCATATATATGTTACATCCGATTTGGTGTTTAAGTTAAAACTCGAAAATATTTCTATATATATATCATTAAACCGATTTCAGGTTTATTGTGCAAATAATGGCTAATATCAGATCAAATAGAGTAAATTCCGGGACGTACGTTTCCACTGCAACTCGGCTCTGATATATATATTTTTTTTAATATAATCCTTCTCGAAGTGATATCCTACAACTATAGCAATGTTATTTGGTATAAAAGATTAAAATGTCTCCGTCAAATTTGTTGAAAATCGATTCAGAATTGGATATGCCTCCCAAATATTAGTTACCTATAATATAATAAGCATAGTGGTATAGGTTATCATGTAGTCGGCCCCGCCCGACATATGATTTTTCCTTACTGGTTTTTGCTACATTTTTTCAATTTTTTGACTTAGAATTTTGAATTGTACATTTTTTAAAGTTTTTCTACAACCCGTAACACTATGTGTTGAGGGTATAATATACAAGTCGCATTTATCGACGAAATTTTGCATGCGGGTAGGATTTGGGTCAGAATTAAAGCCTATTGTTTTTGAAGATGAAGATGATTGTGTTAGGCGTTCAAATGGATCAAAAAAAAAAAAAAAAAAAAATAACAATTAATAAAAAAAAAATAAACTAGCCATAACAAGTGCTCTCAATCAGTCTCTTCCTAGCATAGTATTTTCTTCCCTATATTTATTTCTGTCATTAAATCTTACACTTATTATATTAACTTATTAATCATTTTCTTTATCTTTCAATTACAGCAAGTTTACCTTTTGCCGTTTTTAATGGGTGCCGCGCCTTTGATTTTGGGGAGACTTCATTATTTATTTTTTATAGGTTATAAAGGACGTTTTTATATGCATACAACAAGAAAATCCAATTACGCAGAAAATTACGATGACTCTTATTGAAACAAAACAACAACAAAAAAATCACTAAGTGATTGATGTGCGATCACTTTTTATTCCCCCCATTACTCTTAAATAGACTTTGAGAAGAAAAATAAAATTATATACAATGTAATAATATTTATTATTTAAACAAACAAAAAAATACGATGTTAAATCAAATATGCTTTTATTGTTTATTAATGATGATATTTAATCCTTCTTCCAGCAACAAACAAGCAAGCAAACAAAAGAAGCATTGTAGTAGCAATTTTTTCTTATTTAAAGATTGCATTTCGTTCTCGTTTATTTCGAGATTAGGGCGTTTATCAATTCATTTGCTTGTGTTTTGTTTGTTATTTACTTAGTTGTATTAATTTATATATTTCTTTAAAGATTTAATTTGGTTTTTAGCTAGAACTTATTTTTACTTTTGTTGAATTTGTTTGAGGAAATTAAATAAATAGAATTTGTAAAACTATTAAGCCACTGCTACCCCTTACTCCTCTTCCTATCTGTCCTTTTATTTCGATTTCTATTCAGCAGCCACATTGATGAAATAAGACCGGGTCTATTTATGACATAAATGTGTTTATTACATATTATCAATTTACACCTCTACAAAATGAAAACGATTTTCAGATTAATTGAATTTAATTAATTATGTAATACGAATTACTATTATATTGTTTAATTGTTTACCAGCTAAGATAATTATGGCTTATTATTGTAATTATTATCAGTTCTTAAAATTTCAAGATAAAAGTAAAATAAAAAAAAAACAACTTTAAAAATAAATTACTCAACTATTTTAAAAATTCAAAACAAAAAATCTTTTGAATTGTTTATTTATTTTCAATTGTGGAACATTGCCTTTAATTTTTTGTTTAATAATGCTTTTTATTTTCTCCTAGAACCAGATAGACATTAGATTCTCAGGCAAATCTGTGGGGAATTGATGATTCATTGTAGAGGCTCAAAATGAAAGACTACGTTCTGAAGACAAGAGCAACATACTTGAATAATTTCATCGTTAGCTGTGGTCCTGTACAGGGTGAGATGAAAAAAACTGCAATCAACTTCAGACTGCTGTCATTTCTAAGTCATTCGTCCGACTGTTGATAATATTATTCCAGTGACAGCTCATTATATTGTTTACAAGCTTACAAATACATTTTGGTGAGAATTTTCCAGAAAAAAAGTTATTCGTGATGGAATTTAAGCGTGATAGTGTGATTTCTTTATATTTGGCTGGAAAACCACTAGTGGCTATCGTTGGAGCACTCCAGCATTTCAATGTGAATAAATCTTTTGTGTCTCGTACCATCACTCGTTACTGTGCTACTGGTAGCGTAGCCCGACGTCAAGGAAGTGGGCGGAGGAACAGATCAACATCAGCAGAAATGGTTCGAGAAGTAAAGAAGCAACTTGATCGAAACCCACATTGCAGTGGCCGAAAAATGGCTCATGAGCTGAACATATCGCAATATTCCATTCGGCAAATATTGAAAAATGAGCTCGGGGTAAGCCATTGAAATTCCAAAAAGTGCAAGAACTTACACCGCAACAGAAAGAAAATAGACCCAAAAGAGCTAAAGATTTGCTTCGCTTGGCCGAAAGTGGTGAACTGTCGAATTTCTCCGATGAGAAAACATTCGTTGTCCAGCAGTTTGTAAACAAACAAAATGATCGTATTTACTTGCCAAAGAGGTCAGCTGAAAATGAGCACCTTCGGTTGGGCACCAGAACTCAAGCGCCGGTCATGGCATGGTGTGGGCCGCCATAACAACCGATGGTCGCTACCGCTTGTATTAATCGACCGTCATCTGAATAAATGCTGAATGTTATCGCAAAAAATTCTGGAGGGAGCTATAAAGCCTTGGGCACGAAAACATTTTGGCCACAAACTTTGGAAATTTCAACAGGACTCAGCACCATTGCACTCAGCACGCGCCACCTAAAAATGGTTACAAAATGAGGCTCCTCGCTTCATTTCCAGCGCACAATGGCCACCAAAAGCTCCGGATACCACTACGTTGGACTACTGTTTCTGGAGTATTTTGGAAAGCGAGGTTGGCACTAAAAAATACTAAAGTGTCGATCACCTCAAGCAAGCCCTTCGCCGGGAATGGGCTATAATACCACAGAGCAACATTCGGGCAGCATGTGACGGTTTCATTGGTCGTTTGAAGGCCATAATTCGTGTCAAAGGTGATCAATTCGAACAAATCTAAACTTATTCTAAAATTTGATGCCATTTCCAACATTTTTGCTTTAATTCAATAAAATTTGAAAAAAAAAAAAAATTAAAAATTATGGCGTTTGACTTGATTGCGGTTTTTTTATCTCACCCTGTAGATGTTCTATTATATGATGCAATGAAGGAAATATTAAACATTCTTCGACCATCACTCCCCAACCGCACTCTCCCCTTTAACAATAACCATCTAGAATGGAACAATTTCCATGTTTACGGCTGGCACGATGTCGATTAAGAGAATGTCCTCGCGAATGGCTGCGGGCATAACGACGAGGTGAAGAGCAACTCGAACCACAACAAGACTGGCAATGTAAATATCTGCAATCGTATAAGGCTGTAGAAGTGGGAAGATAACGGCTATAGAATGAAGGTCCCTGGCACAGGGAACTTTCAGCTTCGCTGTCACTGGCCGAGCCACTTGAACTGCAATAATTGCCATCAATGCATGTGGTTTTTGATGCCACTTTATTAATGTTCAAAATCTCCATAACTTCCTGCAACAGTAGCTGGGCCTGGCCCGCTTTCTTCATAGCTTTTTGCCATTTGAATACAATTTCTTGGGATTTATTTGATTTAGCGTTGTCATCATTTAAATCGGAATCTTTTGCTTTTGTCGCCGGATCATTTAGAATTATTGCAGTTTCTTGTTCCGAAGCGAGTTGATTCTTTGGTGCCATGGGTGTTTGATGCCACTCAAGTGAAATTAATTGCGTTATTGTAGTTTACAGGTACCGCAGCAGCCACTAACTGACAATTTGCAATTGTTTCCAAGTTTTATAGATGAGTTTTGAACTTGAACGCAATTATGTTTTAATGGTATTTTCCTATTAATTAGATGTCTTGCCATTGGCGTAGCTAAAATAAATTTATGGGTTATGAATATTCTCAGATTAAAAACATAACGACATGAGGATAAATGTTGATACAAAAAATCTCAAAATTGGATATTTATAAGATTGAAGGAAATAATAAAAATTAAATGTATAATTTCAAATTTTGACATACCTTAGGTTATGACATGACATAATGAGGTGGTCGATCTTTGGGCATTAATTAGCTCTTTTTGTTGTTGTTGTAGCAGCTCATACATCTGTGTTCGTTCGGTTTCCATTTTCTGACTCTATTCAATCAGTTCTGCCTCTAAGTCCAGTCTCAAAAAGGATGCAACCTGTATGGGTTGTGTCCATAACGAGACTGGAGTTAGGTGAGTAGGTTTAGCTGGGCAGCGAAATAGGTGCAGCGTGTCATGTGGACCTGTGCCGCATGCTGGGCAGATGTTCTGCACGTCGCTGTTTATCCGGGCCCAGTAGGAATTTGGGCGGCTGCACCATCCGGATCGTAATTGAGCCAATTGAGCTTTTTGTAGAACTATTTGTTTGCTAACCCTATTGATGGCAACTACATATTATTCTCAGAACCCAAAACTCCAAATTAAAGGGAAATCTGTTGAAAATGTTTTATTTTTAAGATTTTTTTTAAAATCGGTGACGGTGAGTGATCCATATTGGTTTTTTACACCTAGTCTGTTCCAGAACCTGCAAAAATCTACTAGTTTTGCAATATATTCTGATATCATAAAGGAAAAGTCGGTTATCATAATAAAGTTTTACATTCTTGCAGTGCTGGAACAGAGCAACCAAAGTACCACCACCATTTACGATAGATGATGTTTAAAATTACATCCTGGGAGAGAAACTTAATTTTTATGTTGTAATCGCAGAATGTGCCGTGATAAGTCGTCACTAGTCATGCACATTATTTACGAAGACAGGAAATAGAACCGAGTAGCCTAGATGGTGGAAGCCAGTCAATAATGTCAGAATAGGAAACTCATGCAGGCCGATTTCACTTTTATAGCCATTAGAGAAGACTCTTAATGCGTTACTCCAGTGCATCACTAAAGGTAGCTATCCAGTATTCAATCATCGTCAACATAGTACCACAACAGAAGAATTGAATGTCATATTGACATATTTTCGTCGATTAAGTTAGGGTTAGTTAGCTTTTAGATATTTTACACCAAAAATCTCCCTGCGACCAAGTTTGAAATTGTGATTACTTATTTGGGTGCCAGTCCTCAAAGTGTTTAAAATCTACTTTTTTGGATATCAGGGCCGTCCAGAACCAAAGGTCTCCACCGAAATGATAACTTTTCAGAACATGTTTGTACATTAGCTAGTCCGACCCTTGCCGAAGTGACTTCGAAATGTATTTCCGGGTAAGTCGTAGTCTACAGAATGTGTAAGCTATCTGCCATAAATAGAAAAAAATACGAAAAATGTTATCAAGTCGCTAGTCTGCAGCACTTGGGGCGCAAATAAGGAGACCTTGTTTACCTATTATAATACGATATGTCATTCTGTGATTAACTTTGCGAGTTTATAAAATTCGATATTGAAAAAATTTCCATTGTGTGTAACAACCGTCTTCCAAAAATTAACGGAAAATCGATGTGTTGGCCTTAAGTGGCGTTGCCGGTATGATGGCCGTTCAGCGCGGCAATGGCACGTCGGATAAGGGTTGATTTATGCCACTTGCAAAATTTGAACACACAAAAAAAAAAAACATACCGGACTTTACGTTCACCTAAACTAAGATTGAATCCTAAACTCATCTTAACCTAATTTATCCCCACAGAAACAGAATTCCTGGCGACTGACCAACCATAGCCTTCCCACCGAAAACACCTCTTGCCATGAAGTCCCATGATAAACACTTAACTTACCGCTTTTAAACCATTCAAACCTTTCTAATAAGGCTTTAAGCCGAAGACATATTTATCTTTTTATACCCTCCACCATAGTTTGTCATTCCGTTTGTAACACCTTGAAATATACATTTTAGACCCCAAAAAGTATATATTCTTGATTAGCATAAAATTCTATGTCGATTTAGCGATATCCGTCCGTCTGTGGAAATCACTCTAGCTTCCGAACAAAATTAAGTGGATTGATAAAATTTACTCAAATGTATATTATGTCTGCAGGACTTTTGGTATTGAAAATGGGTCATGTAGATCCACGTTTTGGTATAGCCCCCATATAATGGTACCTCTTGATATTCGATATTTTGATGGTTTTAGCGACACTATTCACCGGAATTGTTTCGAATTTGGTGTTTAAAGTTCGTGATGGTTACTACAACCTAAGACAGAAAATTGTCTGTGTAGGTCCAGGTCTTCATATAACCCCCTTATAACGGTACCTCTCGATATTCGGAATTTTGATGATTTTAGCTACATAATTCACCGGAATTGTTTCAAATTTGATGTTCGTAATGAATACTACAGCCTAAAACAGAAAATGGTCTGTGGAGGTCCCCGTCTTCGTATAGCCCCTATATAACGGTACATTCCGTATTTTGAAGATTTTAACGACATTATTCGCCGGAATTGTTTTAAAATTGGTATTTGAATTTCGTTTTGCATTTAAATATTATAATTGCTTATGACAAAAGTTGCAAATGCAGGTCCACGTCGTCGTATAGACCCTAATATAACGGATACATTCGGTATGTTTAAGATTTTAACAGAAACTTTAACGGAATTTATTTTTTTGAAAATTGTCAAATTCGTTCCCAATGGTGGAGGGTATTCAAAGATCGGCCCGGTCGAACTTACAGCTTTTTTACTTGTTTTCAATTCAAATATGTACATGTTTATTTAATCTATTTTGAATATTCAGAGAAAGGAACAATTCATGGAAAATCTTACATATTATTATTATTATTATTCAAATCCAAATCTATCAGTTTATGACAATTAATGAAAAGACCAAAGGTAATAGTTCATGATGCCAAAATTAATTCAAAATATAATCTTCTTCCTTTTTCTGAAGGCAGCTAATGAATGAGGGTTTTCCCAACAAGTAAGTATGTACCTACGTATAGTTTGAGTGTAGCTTTGTAAATATATTCTAGGTTCAAAAAACAAAAAACAAAAAAAAAAAAAATAATGGTTTCTTTTCAAATTCAAGAAAGGATAAACAAGAAAGGTTTATCGATACCATATAAAATCGACGAGCGAAATAAAATCTTGAAATGAACTCATTTTTACGTCGTGTACCTGTATACCAACACAAGGTGAGTAACATTTAAATTGAATCTCTTTCTAATTTATATATTTTATTTTTTCATGTAAACCTGTGGAATTTAATTATTTTGCTTCGTCGTCTGTCTGTCTGCCCAGAGTTCAATAGTAGCAATTGTCAAATGGGGAAAAATATCAAGTCACGCTGGTGTATCAATGTCGTAAAATCGGCCCTGCCTCGATGAATTGGATGGGCGATGGTGTGGCTCATAGACTCCAACTCTTCTTGTTTGGATATTTATCTTTAATTTTTTTTGTTTCTGGTATTTATTTAAGACTTGTTTAATTTTAAACTTTGTATAGTTTTAGAATTGGTTTAGTTAAGATTATTTTTTTTTTCTAAATTTTCAAGAAAACTATTTAATTTAGTTCTAAGTTTTCAACTTTTAGCCTTTAAGTCTTTAAATTTTGGTGTAATTGTTTTAAAGTTTAAAATTTTGTTGAAACATTTTTAAGTTGTGTTGTTTTTATATTTGTTTTAACAGCATAAATTAATAATTTGAATACACTTTTAAATAAAGTAATTCATCAGCAAAAACTGTATGATTTTTTTTTCGCCTGTTATTTGGAGCCACACATCCAATCTTCTTCACAGTTAAAGTAAAAAGGGCCCACTTTAATGTTAATCGTCATTAAGAAATTTCCTATTGCCGTTTCTTTTCAAATTCTCTTTAATTTCCCCGCTAAATGACGTTTTGTCAACTGTTATACAAAAATAACAGGTGTTTTTGTAATTGATTGAATGTCAACATTAGGTGTTTCCGGTTACCCTAAAGTTTGTAACAATTGTTACAAATTGTTACTGGAAGTCGTCTGTTAACCTGAAAGTTCTGCAAAAGAGAGCGGTAGGAGAGAGAAATTTTGACAGTTCATTCACTGAGAGTTTGCAAATTCTTGCTGGGCAAATTTCGTCTTGCAAATTGCAATCACTTGCAACTCTTCTTCTTTACCTTCCGGTGATTTAAATTAGGACAAGCAATCGAACTTATATTACTCTCTCTCTCTTATTTGTTTTTTATGTCCTCCACCAAAGTATGGAGGGTATATTTATTTTGTCATTCCGGAATATACATTTTAGACATTTATGTCGATTTAGTGACGACCGTTTCGTTTGCATGACTTTTTGTATTGAAAATGGACCATGTAGGTCTACGTTTTGGTATACCCCCATATAATGGTACCTCCCTATTTTCGACATTTTGTGATTTAAGCGACATTATTCACCGGAAATGTTTCAAATTTGGTATTTGAAGTTTGTAATGGAAGCTACAGCCTGAGACAGAAAACTGTCTATGCAGGTCCACGTCTTACTAAAGCCCTCATATAACGGTAGCTCCCGATATTCGATATTTAAATGATTTGTTTCAAATTTTGTAGTTGAATTTCGTAATGAATACTACAGCCTATGACACAAAACGGTCTGTGCAGATCCACGTCTTCGCATAGCCCCCATGTTACTGTACATCCCGATATTCGGTATTTTGATGATTTTAGCGACATTATTCACCAGAATTGTTTCAAATTTGGAATTTGAAGTTCGTAATGGGTACTACAGCCTAAGACAGTAAATTGTCCGTGCAGGTCCACATCTTTTTATGGCGGCCATACAACGGTACTTCCCCACATCCTGAGTTTTGATGATTTTAGTGATATTATTCACCGGAATTGTTTAAAATTTCCTAATGGGAACTTCAGTCTATGACAAAAAATTGTCCGTGCAGGTTCACGCCTTCGTATAGCCCCCATATAACGACATCCCCCGATATTCGGCCTTTTGATGATTTTAGCGACATTATTCACCGAAATTGTTTCAAATTATGTATTTGAATTTTGTAATGTGTGCTACAGCCTTAGACAGAAAATTGTCTGTGCAGGTCCACGTTTTGCTACAGCCCCCAAAATAATAGTACCTCCCTATATTCGGTATTTTGATGATGCAGGTTCAAGGCTATATTCGGTAATTTTAAGATTTAACAGAATTTTTAATTTTTTTTTTTTGGACATTGCCAAATTCGTTCCAAATGGTGGAGGGTATTTTAAGTTCAGCCCTGCCGAACTTTCTGCTTTACTTGTTTTTAATTTAAATGGCTCTTTGAGACCATTAATATTGAATGTTTCGAATGCATGACTTGCATAACAGAGTGCCAATTTACTTTTTCAATTTACAAAACTAAAACCAATCGAAAATATTTCAATATTTAACTAACCCTTCCGAAAAAAATACAATTGTCATTTGTTTGGTTTATAGGTAAATATTATTTTATAATTTATAAAAATATATCAACAATACTCAATTATTTAAAAATTAAACTTAGATGCTAAACGATTTACAATTTCAACACCACTGGCAAAGTCTCTTCAATGGCCCGTGTTGATGATGTGCCCTGCATTGGATTTTGATTAGAATCGACAGTTTGTGTGGCTTGTCGATTGTGGTGACGATGTGTGGGAGATGTGCCTCTGGAATGACCACGAGATCGGCTACGTGAATGATGATGACCGTGGCGTCCACGGGAATGTGAACGAGGTCTACGACCATGGTGGTGGTGGTGGCGTCCGTGTCCACCATGGTGGCCATGGCCATAGCCATGATGATAATGTTTGTGGTGGCGCGGAGGTCTGTGACCACAGTAGAAACCCATTTCCATATCACTATCGTTGGAATCGCTTGAACTGGAACTTGACGAAGAACTTGAACTCGAACCGGAGCTGGAACTAGAACTTGAGCCACTATCACTGTCATTGGGATCACACACTGGTGGTTCAGGTAGGACAGGATGGCAAGGGTGATCTCCCTTGCCATGTTTCTTTTTATTCTTTTTCTTTTTGTCCTTTTTGTTAATTTTACCCTCTTTCTTTTTGTGTTTATCCTTTTTCGAATTCTTGTCTTTGTTCGGTTTATGTTTGCGCATTTCGCTGGCCAAGGCTTCCATAACTTCCTGCAACAACTCCTGGGCTTCGCAGGCACTTTTCATGGCCTTGCGCCATTTCACCATAATATCATGGTTGTCGCAGGGTGATGCTGCCGCCTGGCTAGCATTGCTGGGACTTGGATGCTCCAGCATTACGGCATCCTCAATGGAAGCCTGATTTTCACTTTGTGGCATTGGCACAGAGACGTTGTATGGCCCTTTGTTTTGCAAATTTTCCAGTGTTGAGTCAATAAAACGAATATTTGTGCGCCTTATCTCGTTGTCCAGTTGTTTGGTTCCACACCGGCTAAACGACTTTCCGACAAGAGCTTCTGTTCAACTGTTGTGTTTTGTGTCGCAGTATCTAGCTTTTATAGAATTCAGTAAACGTTTATCGTTGGCGTACGTTTGCATTCTCTTATCTATATCTCTCGTCTCGCGTTCCGGTCATTGGACAGGGAGGGAGCATACGTTTGGAAACGTTTCGTTAGAGAATTTTGAGCTTATGCATTACTCATTCATGAAATTATAAACAATTGGAACAGTGTTAACAGTGTTTTGAAAAAGTACAACATTTTAAATCGCTGGGGATGCTGAGAGTTCTTATCAAAAATATTTTTCCGATGAACTACAATTTTTTTTTTCGTTTTTAAAAATATTTTTTGAAGAACTTTTACTCCAATAAACGTGAATTTTTTAAAATATTTTTCTATAAAAATATCTGATAAATAATTATCAAAAATATTTTTCGATAAACTACAAAATCGTATTTTTCAATTTTCGTTTTTGAGAATATTTTTTGTAGAACTATCAGTTTAATAATCGTGAATTTTTTAAAGAATATTTTTCACTAAAATATCGGATAAATACTCTTGGATTTTTTGAACTACAAAGTAGATATTTTTAATTTTTCGTTTTAAGAATATTTTTCGTCAGTCCAATAATTGTGATTTTTTTAAGAATATTTTTCATTAAAAAATCAGATGAATAATCTTGGGTTTTAGGAATCGAGCCACTAAGCGGAGGAGTCCATGTTGATTTGTAATCACTCTACTATGCGTAATTATTTTTGGATGCGATTTAGGGGATATAATGAACCCAAAACCGAAATTTTTCTAGAGTTGGCCTTTGAGGTAGAGATCTCAATTACACTAGACAACACAAAAAATAGTTATAGAAAAAATTCCGCAGATTATATAAATTAGAGCACACAAGTAAAAAAGCATCGAAGTTCGGCCCGTCGAACTTTTAATACCATCTTCAAATTAGGAGGAACTTGAAGAGACGTGGACCTGCATACGAAATTTTTTGTCATAGGCTGTAGTACCCATTACGAACTTTAAATATGAAATTTGAAATAATTCCGGTAAATAATGTCGCTAAAATCATGAAAATACGGAATATCGGGAGGTACCGTCATATGGGGGATATGCGAAGGCGTGAACCTGCACGACCTACGAGGACCTACATGGCCCATTTTCAATACCAAAAGTCCTGCAGACATAATATACATTTGAGTAAAATTGTATCAACCTACTCCATTTTGTTCGGAAGCTAGAGTGATTGCCAAAGACGGACGGATATCACTAAGTCGACATAGAATTTTATGCTGATCATTATACCCTACACCACATAGTGGTAAGGGTATTATGTCTTTGTGCATTTGTTTGTAACAGGCAAAAGAAAACGAGATAGACCCATAGTTCCTTTTGATGATCTGCATAGAATCACATTCTGAGTCGATTTATGCATGTCCGTCCGTCCGTCTGTCCATGTATTTTTGTAAACAAAGTACAGTTCGCATTTATTGCCCTATCCAGATGAAATTTTGCACAAATCATTTGTTTGGCCCAAGGACGAACCCTATTGAAATTGGAGATAATCGGTCAAAATTTAGATATAGCTCCCATATATATCTTCGTCCGATTTGCCTTTTATTCTGCACCAAACGTGTAATAACAGTCCGAATAGTATGGAATTTTGCACGTACGATCAGATTGGACCTGAAAATAGGTATGCCAAATTTGTTCGAAATCGGTTCAGATATAGCTATAGCTCCCATATATAATTTTCATCCAATTTGTTATTTTTGTCCTCCGCAGGCGTAATATGCACTCTGTAACAACAATATTTGGGGAAATATATCAAATACAGCTCATAAAAACATTTGCTAAATTTTATCGAGATCGGTTCAGATTTGGATATAGCTCCCATATATAACTTCGTCCGATTTACCTTTGATTGTGCACCAAACGTCTAATACTTGCCCAAATTGGATGAAATTTGGCACTTACGACCGAATTGAGTCTAGAAGCTAGTATGTCAAATTTGGTGAAGATAGGCTCAGATATAGCTATAGCTCCCATATATACTGTTCATCCGATTTGTTATATTTGTTACCCACAGCCGTAATATGCACTCCGTAACAACGATATTCAGGGAAATATATCAAATACAGCTCAGAAATATCTTTGCCAAATTTTATCGAGATCGGTTCCGATTTGGATATATATTTTTATCCGATTTCAAATTAATTGTACACCAAATGGACAATACAAGTCCGAATTAAAAAGATACAAATGCTACGGCATATTTAGTCCTTCGAACTTTAAATTATAACTATAATCATAGCGTGTATGATTGAATTCTCCCATAAAAACTTTTAATTGTTATGCGCAGCTCTACTGGTTTCACTTGTAATAGGTAAATTTCGAGTGAATTTTGTCGATAAAATTAGTTAACCTAGATATATGGCTTCCCCTGAGATTAATAGTTAAATTTTGTCTAGAATATTCCTTCATTTGACCCTTTCTGTCTAAAATGAAATTTAAAGTTACTTCAGACGTCAGTTAGAAAAAAGTTCGAAGCAAAATTGATCTAAAATCTGTAAAAACGTAAACACTGATAATATGCATTTAATATATAATCTTCGAGTAACATTTTCCTAAAAACTAATAAACTTAGATATATAGTTTATTCTGAGATTAATAAAAAAAAAAAATGTGTAGAATATTTCTTAACATCTACTGTCCAAAACTAAATTTTATGATACTTTCAGGCGTCAATTCAAAAAAACACCAACGAAAAGTCATTCAAAAAATAAGTTTTGATTTTTTTTTTGCAATTGTATTAATATATTCGTGAGATATAATGGAAATGTAGACTTCTTTAGTTCAGTGACTTATAGTGAAATTTGATGTGGAACATTTTTGTCTTTAAGCTCATTTTAGAAGAAAATGATGCTTTGTAGGAGAATTTTGCATAAAATCACATAAAGTACGACATTAACACTAAAATGTTTTTTTTTTTAATTTATAAATTCAGGCGTTTTGGTAAGATTTAAACTCTAGATGTCTTCTAGAATTCTGCTATAGAATTTTATGAAAAAATATTTTGCGGAATATTTTGACTTGCTACTGTACCATTTAAAGGGAGCTTTAGCAATATTTCCAAAAAAAGGACCAAAAGATCTCTTTGGACTAAAATCAAGCAAAATAATTTTTGAAATTACCTTCGTCAAATTTAGGTGAAATCAAAAAGCTCTCATATCTTGGTCCCATTCGATTAGTACTTTACGATATAAAAACCTAATCTTTCACCATCATTTTTTATACCCTACACCACAAGGTGGTCAGGGTATTATGTCTTTGTGCATTTGTTTGTAACAGGCAGAAGGAAACGAGATAGACCCATAGTTCCTTTTGATGATCTGCATAGAATCACATTCTGAGTCGATTTATGCATGTCCGTCCGTCCGTCTGTCCGTCCGTCCGTCCGTCTGTCCATGTATTTTTGTAAACAAAGTACAGGTCGCATTTATTGCCCGATCCAGATGAAATTTTGCAAAGGTCTTTTGTTTGGCCTAAGGACGAACCCTATTGAAATTGGAGATAATCGGTCAAAATTTGGATATAGCTCCCATATATATCTTCGTCCGATTTGACTTTTATTGTGCACCAAACGTGTAATATCAGCCCGAATTGTATGGAATTTTGCACATACACCCATATTAGGCCTGAAAATATGTATGCCAAATTTGATCGAAATCGGTTCAGATATAGCTATAGCTCCCATATATATTGTTCATCCGATTTGTTATTTTTGTCCACCGCCACCGTAATATGCACTATGCAACAACAATATTCGGGGAAATATATCAAATACAGCTCAGAAATACATTTGCTAAATTTTATCGAGATCGGTTCAGATTTGGATATAGCTCCCATATATAACATCGTCCGATTTACCTTTTATTGTGCACCAAACGTCTAATATTTGTCCAAATGGGATGGAATTTGGCACTTACGACCGAATTGAGTCTAAAAGCTAGTATGTCAAATTTGGTGAAGATCGGTTCAGATATATCTATAGCTTCCATATATATTATTCATCCGATTTGTTATATTTGTTACCCACAACCGTAATATGCACTCCGTAACAACGATATTCGGGGAAATATATCAAATACAGCTCAGAAATATCTTTGCCAAATTTTATCGAGATCGGTTCAGATTTGGATATAGCTCCCATATATATCTTTATCCGATTTCAAATTAATTGTGCACCAAATTTAAAAGATACAAAGGCTTCGGCATATTTAGTCCTTTGAACTTTAAATTATAATTATAATCATAGCGTGTATGGTTGAATTCTCCCATAAAAACTTTTAATTGTTATGTGGAGCTCTACTTAATTAGCAAAGTGGTGTAGGGTATCATAAAGTCGGCCTCGCCCGACTTTAAGACTTTCTTTACTGGTTTCTTTATCGCTTTTATCAAATACTCTTTGATAACGTTTTGCAATATTTGTACGTGAGAGAAAAAATTCTCTCAGTACAATCAAGTTTTACTGGAAAAATTAACGTGCACACCTATTTTGAGTTTTCTCAGCATATGTTCTCCCTGGTGAGATGCATTTCGATGTGTCTCCATGTTCACAGGCACCCACACATTTAAACTTTAATCAAAAGTTTTTTTTTTTTGAGATTTTAGACGTTTTTGCGATTAGCTAGGGAATTTTCTACGTTGTTGTTTGTTGTTATTACAATTAAATTATTAGTTAACTGAAAAAAGGTTGTCATGTTTCGGCCAAAGAACACAACTTGCATTTTTTGAGATCGGTGAATCCCCTAAATAAAATATTTGATTTAATTAACAACAACAAATAGTGAAAGTAAGATAAATACTGATAGATGG